TTAAAGTACTTTAACTATATAATACTAACTTTATTTATTATCTAGCTACTTTTAGAGATAGCTATAACCTAGTTATATAGTAGCTAGCTACTTTTATACTATACTAAAAGATAGTTCTTATCTATAATAATAAGAAATAGTAGAACCTATATATTATCTACTACTCTTACTATTATAATTACTAAAATCTACTTATAATTATCTAGTTAAAAGCTTTTTAGTTATAATTATCTCTTAGAGCTAGTAACTACTATCTAAGATAATATTATTTCTATTATAAAGCTAGATTTATTAAAATTATACGTATCTTTATTAGTAATACTATACTTTGCCTTTATATTATCTACTAGATTAAACTACGCCTAAATAATTATAGAATCTTTTTACTTTACTTTCTAATAGTTATACTTATAATTAAGCTATATTTTAAGCTTAGAATAGTATATAATAAAGTTATTTAGCTAGTTTTTACCTATAACCTTTCTACTTTACTTAGTAAGTAGCTTATTAGCTATATCTTAAATAGTAGTAAGCTAAAAGGTAAATTCTTACGTATCTAGGTTAAGTATATAGTTAACTATTATCTACTCTTTATTCTTTATAAGTTTTACTAAATTAGATATTTTTTTATATTATAGTATTATTTTAGCGTATTATATTTATAGTAATAATAAGAGAATATAGTAGATTACTATAGTATATTACTTACTTTAAATTTAGCTAGTCTAGATAGCTTAAATTATAAGCTATATTCTAGCTTTTTAAGAAGATAACTTAGTATTAGTAGGTAGACTTATAGTAGTTAAGATAATTATTAGTAAGAGCTTAGTAAAAGTAACTAGCTTACTTATAAAGTATATTATAGATCTATATATATTTAAAATTATATAGAAAAATATTAAGATTTTACTTAGTTATTTAAGAAAAACTTATTAATTCTTAGACTTAGTATTTTTAAAGCTTTTACTTATATAAAGCTTTTACTTATAAAGTATATTATAGTTATTCTAGTCTAGAATTATTTATTTATAAAAGTAAGTCTATAAAAATATAGAATAAATAAGTAAAGTTAATATTTAATTATATTATTTATTATACTAGATCTAATATCTACTCTTTAGTATTAAGAGTTATATATAACTAGAAGTATATATTCTAGCTTAAGATACTATAAGTATTAAATCTAGAAATTATTAACTTACTAAATTATAGAGAAAAGAACTCTAGATACTAGATTAGATAGAAAGTAATATAAAGGTCTAAAACACGCTAGTAGAGATAATGTCTAGAACTCTTTAAAGGCTTTTATAGTATTCTAATACTCGAATGCTAGATTAGAAGCGCTATATGTAAGCGCTGTTTCTGTATTAGGTCTAAAGCAGAAGCGCAAGATATTAGCACACTAAAGAATTATTCGATTTGTTCACGTGAAGTTATCGGCAGGCCCTAGTTGGGTATAATCCAGGTTCGACGATAGTGGAAGCTGAAAGGGTCGCTGATATAGCAGGACCGACTAGATCTCCTGCCTTAGGGCAATCAGGCAGGCGGATACGCCAAGACCTTCTGCGATGATGAGATGTCCATCGCTGTCGTGGTGATGATTTTCGATCGATTGGAGAATGAATAGTGCCTCTGCGTGATGCATACACATCATTGTGTGAACAACGCTTTGGTAAGCTTCGGAGTCGAGTCCCGTGAGGGAGGGAGACGAAGATACATGATCTCATCCCAGTATCAGTGCCAAGCCGGGACTTCTGCGGCGTACCGGCTTACGAACTCAGTTTCACAGCTCACCACCAACTCCGACCGCAAACACCAGGAAAAGGAGAAACTGCGCAACGGCTAAGGTGTTCTTTCCTTCTCTTCTTTCAAGTTCTATTGCTAACGTTCCTAAAGAGAACAGACCCCCCCCCCACCCCTCAAAGATCGCCCCTTCGTCCTATCCGCACCTCCCCAGACCTCCTCGCACCTCGCACCTCGCACCTCGCATCTCGCACCTCCACAACTAAGAAGTCATACGAGTCATTCTAGATGGAAATATGCTTGTTGAACAGGCACGAGCGGACTCTGCCCTGCGTCCTGATATTCACTCTAAGAGGGATTTGACAACTCTTAGCGAAGTCACGGATTATGAGACATGCGAATTCCTCCGCTCCACCTTCACCTACGTCGATGAAGAGGATATCGCATGGTTCGGCCAGGTACCTGGAATACGAAAGTACGACTTGACAGTTGAGGATCTCAAACGAGAGCTGCGAAGAATCCCTGATGAGAAGATTTACCTGCTACACACGTGGATGTCTGTTGTGTCGGAAGCGGATCGAAAGAACCTCTTCATCAAACGCCCTGAAATATCCTGCGCTGACAACGAATACGAGGTCAAGCTCGTGCCGCGGATACTTTTCGAAGAAGTCGAGATCTTGGAATTCCTCAAATAACACCACCATCTAAATATTGTCAGATATCACGGCTGTACCGTCTGGCGCGGCCGTATTACCGGACTCGCCCTCGAAAGATACGGAGTCATCCGCGCTTTGCGGAGAGTCGAGGAAGAGATACTTTCAGGCGGACTCAGGTATCTTTTGCTTTAGGAGTGCAGGGGGTTGATGACTATAAACAGAACACAGGGATTCATATCAGGACTGCCAAACATCAGTTCACGTGGCATATATATTGCATTTCGTGATGGACTTCCTCTGAGGTGCGAGGGCACATGATCTTGGGACGGTTCTCTTTCTCTCGTTCTTTCTCCATCCGGCATGGTGGTATCTTGATGTAATTCTTTCACCTGTCGGATCGTCGCGTCTTAACCTGCGCGTGTCCTCTATCGGAGCTGACGCAGCCTCACAAGTCTACTTTCGAATTCCTTACGTTTGCGTTCCTTGCAGCGCTAACGAAAATCAATGCCCCTTCCGTCAATCTCTTCATTTACTAATGCCCCGAAGCCAGGGCCAAGAGTGACTGGCGCGCGGAAGACGCCTAATTAAGCACTGCGGGCCGTTTCAACCCCAACGCCTTACGCGTCCCACACCGACCAATCGACACCCAATGGCCCTTGAAACTTTCATCAGCGCAGCAAAACGACCGATTGTGATTGGACCGTGCCTGCGCAGTAAAGATGCTAGGCTAGGGATCTAGGGTCAAAAACACTAACACATGCATGCGGTGGTTATCTGCACTGCAGGAAACCCGACTGCGTGCTGAAGATAGTGTAGGCCGGCGAATGTCCGTGCCTCGAGAGTTACGCATATCCATACGTTTCTCTGCTTGGCAGGAGAGGACGATAATGAGGAAGGCCTTTCGAATGGGCTATAAGTAGGGGTGATGCTTTCCTATGTTTTCTTTCTTCTGCATATCCATCCGCTCGCGACCTTCGTCTCGTCACATCCGCCAGTCGTCCACCATGCATGCCCCATCCGCCATTCTCGCATTCGTGTTAGGGCTAGCTGCTACGGCTACAGCGCACCGGCAGCACCTCTCCGCCCGCGATCTCGCCTCCCATGCCGCCATCTCCAAGCGCTGCGCTGCCAAAGCCGGAGAGTTCACCCTCGCCCGTAAGAAGCGCTCCCTCGCAAAAAGATCCAGCATTATCCCGCGCGACACCAGCGTGAATATCACCATCGAATCTCCTCACTACAGCACCATTCAAAACGATACGTGCGTGCTGGTCCCGGATGTGACCGCCGGTCCATATGTCTGGCCGAGATCAGAGACACTCAGGCAGGATATGCGCGAGGGTCAGGCGGGCGTGCTGCTGTATTTGGATATCGGGGTGCTCGATGTGAATACATGTGAGCCGGTGCCGAATGTGTTGGTTGATATGTGGCACTGTAAGCCCACTCTCCTCCATTGCTGTGTTCGCAGAAGACTGATAGCAAACAGGCAACGCAACGGGAAGCTACTCCTCCTTCGACGCTCTCTCCCCAAACATCCCCTTCCAACAACTCCTCGAAATGCTGAACAAAACCATCGGCCCCAACCTCGACCTACACACCGGCGACAGCACCTTCCTGCGCGGCATGTGGCCCACCGACAGCAACGGCGTCATGGAAATGGCAACCATCTTCCCGGGCTTCTACGTCGAGCGTACAATCCACATCCACGTGCAAGCGCACACAGACTGGATGGTCCGGGGCAATGGCACTGTTGTCTCTTCCAATATCGTCTCGACGGGTCAGCTGTTCTTCGATGAGGCGCTGAGCGAGCAGGTTATGGCGCTCGAGCCGTATGCGAGTCATACGCAGATTGAGAGGACGACGAATGACGTGGATAGTATTTATGCGGGGGAGACGGTGACGGGATGGAGTCCCGTTGTGCAGGTTGAGGCGTTGGATGGAGTGGATGTGGCGAATGGTATGATGGGGTATATTACGTTGGGGGTCAATCTGACGGCGACGAGTAGTCAAGGTGGTAGTGGTGGAGCCGTACCTTCCGGAGCTATGCCTTCGGGTGCTGCGTCGTCTGGGGTTGCTTAAAAGAAGGATGTCACAACGAGAAGTGCGACATCAAACGCGAGCGGTTAGGCTATGTTAGCGGCGCCTTGTATATACCTTGTAGCATCTTCTCGCTGCTAGACACGAGATATAGCAAACTACAAACCAGCAGCCTCGTCTTGACCCATCTCCTACCAGAGCAAACGACCGTCCACAATGGCTACCGCCGATTGCATGATTGCAATGGCCATTCCCAGTCTTAACTAACCCTAAACCATATTTGGGAAGACTGCCTCCTGTCCCTGGTGTAGTGCGGCACGAGAACCGGGTACCATTTCTGTGCGTATCGATCGGAAGCTCGGTCGCGTGGGCTCGTCTAGAGAGTTTGACGTCTGTAGATCGAGTCCGGAGCAGGAGGAGGTGGTGGTGGTGGTGATGGTGGCTCGAGACGTCGTGGAACAGGGCAGTGACCTCGTCGCGAAGGCGAGCGAGCAGGTTGTTCGTTCGAATGTCCGGAGCGGGGGGAGGGATAAGGAGAGCGGAAAGCGGGCCTCCTGGAAGCTCAGAAAGAGTGTGAGAGTGAGAGACGGCGGCGGTGGTGGGTTCTATTTGTGGGCGGAGGGGGAGTTCAAAGAAGGCCCGAAACGCTCACCCAGCGCAGGTTCTCTGCGTCGGCGGAGGGTAGTGCGGCGCAGCGAGCACATCTTTTTGGGGTTTTTTTTGGGGGGGGGGGGGGGGGGGGGCCTCCGAAAGCGCGCGTCCAGAAGGTCAAGTCGCGGACCAGGGCGCCCCATGGAAGAGGGACTAGAGGCGGACGACGGAGGGGGAAATGAGGATTTGGGACGGCGGCGCATTCGGAGAGAAGGCAGCGTGGGTAGTAGCGATACAGGGAGGGAACGAGAAGGAGGTTACTGACGGAGTCAGCCCATATAACATAAGGATCTTTACGATACAGAACGGTTAGACTTCGAAGGTCGGGCAGGGAAGAACCGCTCGGCCAATGGTGGCTTGGCGAGCTGCACAAGCGCCAGCAGTAGAGACATAGGCATAGCTGTAAGTTGTGCTGCATCGCGAAGGTTGCTTAATAGCCGTCGCGCAGACTAATTGGGGATGCACAAGCTGTGCGCTCTAGTTAACTCAGCAGCAGCGCCATATATCCGCTTGGACGTATGATGTACCTGTGGCTGGTGCTGCGCCGAGGGCGGGCCCTCAACATCAAGCCAAAAGGAGTCCCCGCTCCCACCCCTTGGCCGGGCCTGATTTAGCTTCCATGGGTCCTGTTCCGATTCCCGCTGTGGAGCCTTTTTGCTCCCTAGATAGGACCCTGGCCCAGATCTGCGCACCTCCGTGGCGACCGCCGCCTCGCAATGACCACATTTAATCTCAGAAGCGAGAGGGTTCCAGAACGGATTCACTGCGGGAACTAAACGGGCCCCATGGCTAGCAGGGCACAGCCCAATGATCGACGTGTAAAGGATCAAAATCATGGCACCAATTCGGAAACTACGCAAGTACTGAAACGGGTCTCTACGAGGGACCCAATAGGGGCTAAATTAGATCATCGTTGAGCACTTCGCGATGCACGTCAATGAGTAGAGCATGCCATCACTGAGAAGCGCTACAGAGCAACCGCATACGCCGCAGACTGAAGATTATTTCGTGACATCGAGTAACTCCTCCCACCAGTTACGATACGTTGTATCAATCCACTGCTCCAACACACGCAGTCCCCATAGCACTCTATACGTTCCTAAGACGGACGATGTCTCGCCAAGAATGATGGAAGGAAATATGGTCTGTCAGCTGTTAGTGCTTGAGTAAGCCTCAGCGAACAGAGAAATAGAACTGATTGGGTATTCGAAGCCATGATTTGGCAATGGTGGAAATAAGAATGAGTCAAGAACTCACAACGCTTCTGTCGGCAAGCGGTGACGATGAGGGGCGCGCGAAGAGAACGGTCCACTGCGCCGACTGGACATAGAGGAGTGGGAACACCATTCTACGCAGCACGGCGTTACGGTCTAGCTCCTTTGACAGCACCTTGGGATTCTTCCGACGAGATGCTTTCGTAGGGACCGCTATGGAAGCTAGATAGACAGTCTCTGTAGTTATGCGTTCGAGTTGCGCAGCGACCCAAATCGCTAGCTGTACTCTTGCTTCTTCCTCTGGTCGGCTGATTGTCTTGGTTTCGATGCTGACTGCAATAGGCCGATGACGAAGTGTATATCGCATAGTCGACCATCTTCGACGACACAGCAAGGCCGGAAGAGTGCGCTGGTACGTATTGCGGATCGATCCTAGCTGTAGTGCTTGGAGGAGCTCAGCCGCTGCATAGCTATTCCAAAAAGGAGTAACGTACATATATCGAAACCCTGCTCGATCCTCTTTCTTCAGCGCTAGGCGCAATAATGTACCATGGACTGCGTTGTTCCACTTGCATGAACATTATGCAGGAGCTTCAGAGAGGTATTTCGCTATTCGCTCAAGCCCCTGCAAGTCGCCCTCTACGGTGTTCACCAATTTCTTATCCACCCAACCGTTCGTATACCCACCTCCAAAATCAACTAAATAAGCATCGTCAAGCACGTCAACAAGAACGTTATTCGGTTTCGCGTCTCCCCAAACGATCTGGTGCGCGTGAAGCTCGTGAATCGAATGTGTTATTTGCTGAACCCATTTTTCGCGTAGCGAGGTCTGATTCGGACCCCATCCAGGGCAGAGCAGTGTCTTGTTTTCGCAATCGATGTATAATAATAGAAAACCGGCTATTCTCGATGTTCCCTCGTCTTCAACCACGCCGAGGAGTCGAGAGGTACGCACGTCTTCTTTAAGTTCGGCGGCATGGATCTTGGCGTATGTAGATAGTTCTCGATGGGTCATGGAAATGTCACTTGGCTGTAACTTCTTAAAGAAGCAAACATCCTGTCCCTTAATGCACACTTTGCCAGGCCGTGTTGGCAGGGCCACCGCGTCATCGCTCAGCCGAATGTGGATATCACTTGGACGGTAAACGGGGAATATGGAGCCGTCGAGCTTTTTGGCGGGAGGGAGTAGAACACCAACAGGAGCGCGGTCTGCAGTGGCGTCGAGCGGAACTGGAACTAGCTCATCCCCAGCCAACTGTAGGGTGTACCTAACTTGTTTGGGAAACAGGCAGTCCTGGAGCGTGTACAGTCGTTTGCAATCCAACGGAAGTATTTCGCGGAACAGCGGTAGAAACGGTTTCGTCGCCCATTCGTAGAATTCTTCAAGAGGATCGACAAACTCAATGTCGTTAGGATTTTCTGGCAGAGGCAGAATGTACTCCGGATCCGAGTGTTCTACATGAAGCAAATACTCCTTTAGCAACCTTGGGTTGCCTTCGAAATTGGCGGTGAACAGGTCAATACGGAAGTGTATGTCGCTAACGAAGACGTTCAATTCAACATCGGTGTTGTGAATGCTGCTCCCCGTTGTCCCAATCTCGTACACTGGACGCTGAGCCATAGCCGGAGGTTGAGATAGGCCTTTGACTTGGGAGGTACCGTCGATTTGTGCAAGTTGGAATAGTCCGTTCGGATTATGGGGCTAGGGAAAAGAAACGAAGAAGGGATGGGACGAGCGCTTGTCGAGATTATGAGAGGCGTGTCGACGGTGGGGATTTAAGGGCGACACAGTTTGGATCACGTATGTGCGAGAGGATGCAGCTCAGGCGACCTTCGCGCGCGCTAAGATTCAGATTTGCGGCCGAGAGGCTGTCGTGTCGGCTAATTGGCTCTTCCAGGTGCTATTTTTGGCTTAGGTTCCTGTGGCGCAGCTTACCGGTCACGTGCCGGTATGACTTTTGTTGCACGAACCTAGCGCAGTCACAAACATTGTACACTGCTGCTTGCAGGCGCCAAAATCAAAACAACAGCCCCGCGTTCGCCCACACCACCGCCCACGGCATCACAGATCATACATCTCTCGTGCTGCTTCATCAATTCATCGTTCATGCACCTAAAGCACACGCGATCCGAAAACCTATACCCCGGCCGTACATCGTCCTGGAAGCGTCTTCGACTCCTGACCCCCGCCTCACGCCCGTTTCCGCCCGCTCCCTCCGCCGACTTCTCCCCTCGCCCTCAGGCGCCGAGTTCGTCTCAATTCGCTCTCACTCGCGAGAACCTGCGGATCACCCAAGCATTCCTCGACCCTATCAATGGCGACACGCAACTCACGAACATGCGCAAGTACATGCGCAACATCCTCGATTTTGCCGTAACGTCACGGCTAGACAAGATCAAAGCCGCAATTTCGATGCGGAAAGAGAAGTCAATGAAGGCTCTGCCGCCGCCGCTTACCCCGACAAGCCCGGCGAGTCCATGCCCGCCGGGCAAGAGACAGAGGGAGGAATGAACGAGCGAAGATGCTTATATCTCGACCGCTTTTCTCCCGGAGGCGCCTAGTGACGACGTGCTAGGACACTATGGGTATCTCACGCGTCGGGAAGGCGAGACCCATGATCCACCACTGAAGCCTTGTCAAAGAAACAGGACGACTGGCTCCATACTGTTGGGGTAGTGTACCGGGAGATCCGCCAACATTGGACGGGTTGACGTTGGGCTCCATTGCGACCGTTGGGATTTGCAGAGGTTCATTCGCATTGGAAGGGAGTCTACCATCCACCAAGCGCGCTGCACAGTGGCGCTTGGAAGCCGGAAGCTAATGCGCATAGTGAAGCTAGAGGTTCTTAGTCTTGGTTTCCTTTTTTTTTCTTTTTACAGACTTTGGTTACAGAGGTTGGCGATAGGCGGGCAACTTACTAGGTCTAAAGGACCGAAGAAGGGGTGTTCGATGATATGGGGGGGGGGGGGGGGTTCGATGATAAAGTACGTTAATAGACTTGTTGATATAATCTTCGCCCCATTTCCGCACGACGACCATGTCTTAATATTGTCGTAGAAGGGTCCTGCGACCGCAATGCTAGCGATTGAGCTATTCGGGGCGACGGCGCTGGGGGTCGCCAGCGGTCATGTCACTGGCGACTCAAATCCACCGAGCGCCAGCAACATAGATCCGCGGCGCTCGGCCAACAGTGTGGTGAATAAGGCAGACCCTCTTAGTCAGGCGGGCTGAAAAAACTTCGGTGACACCAAAAACCCCGCTCATCTCCCTTCGTCGACCACCCACCCTACCACCCTTCATCGAAGGATATGCCGACCAGCGCCGTCCAGAAACCAGCACGAGGAAGCGAGCCGGCTACCGAAATGCGTTCCCCGTAAGTGATGCAGCAACAGCTTCAACATGTGGCTAAGAATGCGCAGGAGAGAATGGGAAGACTGGATCCAGAGCGCTCTCGACTCTGGACACGGCCCTGACGGTTCCTACTTCGTCGATCATGAACGCGGCGAAGGGCAGAGCAGCCTCCACCTCATTCTCGTACACTATCGGCCGGCCCGTGGAACATCGAAGGTCATCATGCCCGTCGGTGTGATGTGCAAGCCCGTTACACTCGACTACGCCGCCGACACCGTGGCCCAATCGATTACGACGACGTATCGCCCGGAATCCTGGATGGGAAGGACGGTCTACTTTGCCGTGTGCGATCCGTTTAGTCAGCAGATCTCTTGCTACACCATCGACGAGCAAGACATGCTGGATCAGAAGCGAGACGTTCGTGTTGGCGAGGACACGGTGCTATGGGCTGCGGATCAGAACAGGCAACTGTACGGAGTCTAGAAGTCAACCGCAAGAGCTCCGCTGTCGCGTTCCTGATGGCATTCTTGCCGGGTTGGCTTGCATGGGCACAAAAACAAGGGCTAAGAGGTTGCAGCCGTACACAACAACATGCTTTGATGAGTATGGGCTGCGGTGAGGCGGCAAGGCTGGCAGTTCCGCGCTAGACGTTTTAGTTTAGCTGCGATCATCTACCTTCCTTTCTAAAATTAAACAGCATTCTGGTAACTTCGGCCTTCACTTATGCCTTAAATTGCTAGCGGCGTGACAAGTGATGTGATTGGAATCGGCGAGTGCGAGGACGTATTTAGTCTGGTGCTATCTGTTAACAGCAAGCCGTTGCGTCTTGCTTCCAGGTCCGGGCCAGGGTTGGTAGCGGGGGGCAGATGCGATCGTGGGTAGTCTTCAGTGGAGGAAGGAGGGGAACAGACAACAACAGGGTACTACGCCGTCTACGCCGTCTATTGATCAACCTTGGGTAAGGCAATAGTATAGCAATAACTACGAGGAACCGAACTATCTGGGGGATCCGCCGCTCTTAAATACATTCGGTTCCCGCGGGTGGATCAGGTGGATCCCTTGGATCTCTCCCCACGTGACTGATCCGCCCGGATCCTCACGATCCCAAGGATCCAATCACGTGATCCTGATCCACTAGCTTGGTCCCGTGACCTCGCTGCGTGCCCCAGTGCCTGCGCTGCCCTTTGACCCGCCCCGAAATTTCCGCACCGATGCCAATGTGCCTGAGCAATTCATTGCCTTCTGCTTGATCGCCCTATTCTTTGCTGTGGTCGCCCTATTCACCGGCCTTCTTGCGCCCTGCAGTCGTCTGGGCGGATACCTCTCGGCCCTAAACACGTCCGTGGCTTTGTTTTTCCAAACCATATCAGCAGCATCAACGACGTGAGTATTTGGCCCTCAATCATCTATCTTCTTGTGTACTAACGAGTGATAAGTGCGTGGTCTGTGCAGGGAAGAGATGCTTTTCGCAGCGCCGGCTATTCTGCGCGCTTGGGCGTCAAGCTGTATGCCTTCACATGGGCGGCTGTGGCTTGTTTCCTGATATCCACCGTCTTATTCTGCTGTGGCGGCGCCGTCGGTCGCGACTCGTCCCCCGTCCCCCGTGCGCCGTAAACGCTTCACTCGCTCCACCCGCAGTCGAGGAAGCTTTTTGGATACGGAGTCCCAACGGCGGGTCAAAGATGATTATTCCTAGACCGAACGCAGTCGACCCCACCCATTCTACTGTCACGAGGTATGGATCGTGGATGCTGAGGAATTGTGTATGCAGGGATATATACTCATGCATATTCGACTGTTTGGTCACCTTACTCGTTCACGTCGTCACTTTCTCGTTAGCTGTTAGTTCTGTAACCGGTAGAAACTTGCACCGATAGCTATACCCGATGTTGGCCCGATTGCTGAGATAAAGGTTTGAAATTGATACTACACGAAGCTACTCCCTACTCCATCACTTCGTCTTGTAACTCCGTGTCCCGAATCGAGTTTTCTTCCTCGCTATCCGGACCGACATTGTTGTTTTCGTAGGAGGCAGCATCATGACATGTGGGTATGATCGGGCTTGTCGGCGCGCTCGCTTCTTGGGAAGGAGCTTTGACGACAAGCATCTCGCTGTCACCGTACTTGTCTAAGTTGTCCGTGATAGAAAGACGCTGTCTTCGTTTGGGTAGTGGCGGTGGCGCGCCGGAGCGAGAAATACTCGCCATCGAGCTTGTACTCGATGATCTACGGCGAAGTGAGTGCTGTACTGTTGGCGTCGTCTCATTGCCTACAAAGTCTGCAATATCCGGAGGCGTTGTGGAAGATTGGCGATGACTAGGCAAGTCCTGGCGCGATGCTGGTAGTGTCCGTTTAACAGGGACTGGTTTTCGTCGAGTGAGCGTTGCAAAGGCGGAAGCGGTCGGTATATTCCAAGTGCTCCGCTTTTCCGCTTTAGAAGGTGGGGGAAGCGGTGTTCCAGGGGGTGGAAGCGGGTGACCTCTCCCAATAGGCCCAAGCCGGTGATTGACGCTAGCCGGCGAAGATGAGGAAACAGGATATCCAGACGGTAACTCAGTCTTGCTCTCGCCTTTCATATCGATAGGAGATGGTTCAGGGTGAGTGTCGCTTCGCGGACGGTGAGTTGAGTGTCTCTCGGTGTTGTGAGAAGGCGATTTTAATGTTTGCCGTGTGGTAAGCCATTTCTTAGCGGCTGCTGTAGCGGAATTCAACGAGTGATTGAACGTAGGCGACCGATTGCTTGATAAGTTTAATGAATCGAGGGGTAACGAGGTGGAAGAACCATGCATTGATCTCGATCCGTCACCATCAGAATCTGGAAAGCGATCATGACTTGACGGGCTACTTTGCGTTCCCAAAGAGCCGGTATCTGATGTATCTTCCAACCTTTGGCTTCGTCCCACTACTGTGGCCTGAGAGTATGTTGACGACACTTTACGAACGGGTATAGCGCTCTGCCGAGAGGGGAATTCTGCAGAGGAATCTGTAGGTGATGTTGGTGGCGACCGGGATATAGTGGTTTTCATGGCGGTTGCAGCATCATGCAGAATGCTTCGCCCTTCGATTCTGTTTGCTGAAGCATTTGCTGGGTTAATGTTGACTATCGGGCTGGCGGCGCTGGCGAAAGACGAAGAGCGTATAGCTCTTGGCTTCGTATTTGCGCCCAAATCCGTCGCAGTTGAGACGCCTAGACCTTCGAGGGGATCTAGACCAGATTGTGTAGCTCCGCGCAGGCCCAAAGAATCTACCACCCCCAAGGAAGCCATGCTCTTGCTCTCTTCATGATACAGAGCCGTAAGTCCTCCCGGATCTACATTTTCTTGTCTTAAGGCTTCGGGGTGATCTTTCTTCTCCATGCCGTCTAGACCAAAATTAAAGTCGCCTTCCTCAAACCCGTTCTTCCATATGCCTCCTCGGAAGTGTTGCAAAGATGAGTCGCTGAATGGGATGTCATCCCAATTAGGAAGTACGAGCGTCTCGCTAACAACTTCTCGAATCCGACTCTCAATAGCGCGTAGAATGATTCCGTATGTAATTTGTCGCGAACTTACAATAGGCTCGAGGGATAACTCCATTTTGGGTGCAGTTTCGAAGGTCACCCAAGCCCGATTGCTTGGAGGAGGCTTGATTCTCAGCAGGATATGACCCTCTAACCTTTTCAGGATAGTAGCAAGAACAAGGTTAACCTCCCGAGCTTTGAAGCGAGATCCAAGCTCGATGCGAGCAATAGCAGAAATTTCCAGACGGAAATTACCCTTGTAACTGATATCAGCCTCGATGGTAAGGTCCCCATCCACCGTGAGCTCCTTCAGCTTCGGGTTTGTGATGAAAGGTGGCAGACTTCCCATATCAATTTTTTGCACGTTGATACTGCTGATCAAAGCCGGTTTGGGTACACGGGCGATCTTTTTGGTGATTTTCGTCCAGACAAAGCGCTCAATTTCCGAGGTCTTATATAACGCAAGGAAGAGCCTTCCAATGAGCGCATTGACCCAACGGGTATGCAAGTTCTCTTCCGATGCGTGGAGCTGCTGAACGAGTCGGACAAGATCGTGTGTATTGAATTTGAGCGGAAAAGGTGGGTTTGGAGACGCATCTCCGTGACGCTCCTGAGTTCGTAGCATGGCGTGGTAGAAATCCTCCTTCTCGGAACAATTGTCCGAGAAGAGGTAAAATGGCTTCGGGTTCCCAGTACTGTCGAGTTGGGCTCGCTGGGTCAAACGGATGCAGTTGCGCTTGATCCAGAGTTCACCCTCAGGGATCGGCTCCCCACCAGCGTAGATGTCGACGTAGTAATGCGCAAGAGATATCACATGACGCACTTCTAGTTGCTCGGGGTCATCATAAAGCATGAGGTGTCCGAGCCTGATAGATATTAGCATGTCGCTGATCGAGGCGCAATACTGACATACCGTAACACAACGTAAAAGACATTTCGGGCCTTTTTGCTTTTCCCATTCGTAGCATCCATTGAAGGACCGAAAGTTTTGTTTCTGTCGAAGATGCTTCTGTACATCGACTGATATACGCTCGGACTCTCCGTTGCAACGACCGCTCCTGCAGGAGTAGTCCGTTCCGGTGGCTTTCCGTTCCACCCGCCCGGTACATACTCGCGGCAAACAGCGAAGAAGCCGGACGCCACGTCTGGAATGTGCTTTCGGCCTTTCAGTCCCTCTAGAAGAGTGCCTGCTATTCCGATTCCCAGACCATCTCTTTCCTTATCGTCTTCTCGATCCAAGCCATTCAGCCCTCCCTCCACCCCGCTCTGATCATGTGCATGTCTTTCCTCGCCTTGTCTGGCATGGGCTATATCGATAGTCCCCCAGACCCATAGAGTCCAGACCAAAAGCGGCAGAAACGTCACTCCACCTAGCAAGTAGGCGAGGAAGAGTGCCACGGGCCAGCAATCCCCCATCTTTCCCCCTCACACTCCTCCCACCCTTCCAATATCCCAGCCCACTCCCTCCCCAACCAATCGCCACCAACTAGTCGCGCCAGAGCCCCTCAACCAGCCTCCCTTCTCCCACACCCGTGTCCGTGTCCTTTCGCGCGCAACGAAACGTCCCGAACCACAGCGTGAGGTGGAGAGCGGCGGGGTGTGCGGAGGCAGCAGTTCGAGGCACGCGCGTAGAAGCCGCCGTGCGCGCGTGAGAGAGAGGAGGGAGGGAGAGAGAGAGAGAGCGAGGCGCCGTCGTGAATCGAGGAGAGGTGGTGGTGGTGGGAGTAGGAAACGCGGTCCTGGGCGCGGATGTGGTCGTTGAGCAGCTTGACTTGACTTGACTTGGCGGGGGGAGGACAAGGCTGGAGAGATGGCCGCGGTGAGGCGCCCCAATAAGCGGTGGTCCGAGCGTCACAAATGACCTCAAGCGCGCGCTTATCACAGTCGTCCACGCTCAGCGGGCATTCCTGCAGAGTAATACAAGTCAAGATTCATTCAGCGGCGGTCGTTCACAGGCATAGAGCCATAAGAGTTGGCGGAGAAACCATCCATTCAGTTCAGATCTTATGTATTCTTCCCAAACGACCCCATAGCTCCCGCCGGTAAACCGGACAATGTACAGTCCCATCCATGTGTATCGCTTTTGCCTCCCACTGCCTCAAAACCAGCTGAGCACGCGTATCTCTCTCAAACCCGCACCCGCCATACACGAGCTCCCGTCGAGCCCGCCGACAAAGGCGCGCAGCCCAACCCTTTGCGCGCGCCGAAGAGGTATACGCCGTGCTCCCTTGATAGAATGAAAGAAGAAAAAAGAGATATGACACGCGTTCGTAATTGTTACACTGAGAGCCCTGTGTCCAAGATGCTGACCTTGAAGGAGTAAAGGAAAAGGGAAATGAAAGAGGCGGCGAAGAATGAAATCATCGTCGAAACTCCTACGCAGCCGGCTACACAAGGAGTGTGAGCCCCGACATGCGGACTAGAAATTAAGTATATAGAATGCAGAAAGGTAGCTTCCCGTCCCATCAGTCGATTAGATTGGGGGGTGAAGAACTGGATGCCCTAAGGAAAGGTGCCCATCTCAAGGTCAGTCATTCCGTCCGAGAATCAAGATGGTAAAGGAAGCCCTCGGGTGGTCGTGAAGAGGTTACTTTTATACAAAGCCGAATGCAGTAGTCATAACATGGATCCATGCCGGGAGAGAGAAGCCCCCATTAGAGTAATCGAGGAAAGGTCGATATGTCGACATGTCGAATGATATTCGATTACCGGATATCGGATATCGGAACAACAGCGCCAGCTGAGAACAGAGAAGTTGTGAAGGGAAGCGTGGGTAGGGTAAAGACAGTCGCTACGAGCGATGACCAGACCGCAGCGTCGAAACGGAGAAACCAGTCCTCAGCTGGTTCAAAATAGATGATAGATCCCATGGGCATCGGTATGTCGCGCTAGGTCCAACACTATATGGCACTAGCGCCGGGGTATCGGCCTTGATTCCCCAAGCCCATGTTGTCCATTGCAGTGGCGGGTGGTGCGCCACGGCCACCACCACCTCGGCCTCTTCCTCGTCCCCGCCCAAGTTCAGCTCCCGGTATGGCGAAGTCGGGGTTCGCAGCGTTAGCCTCTAGAATCACGTCTTCTGGTCTCATCGGACGCCGTGGCCCGTACGGGCCATACGGTCCTGGCACAAGAGGGCCGGGCGGCGGTCGCCAGTTGGGATTTACGCCGCGTTGTGACACGGACGTAAAGTGAGACGCTTCTGATGCTGCCGGCGATCGAGACCCATCAGCCATGTCTTCGTACGAAGAGGTTCGTAATAGGTTTGGGTCGCTCGTGTTGAGGGAGGGATTGGAAACGTTGAGATTAGGATTGGGGCCGCCCGGCATTAACGAAGCTGGCATAGGTGGGTTGTTCACAGGCTCGGCGAACCTAGGGTCCACGTCCTCGTAGTAGTCCGAACTCCTGTCATTGTTGGGCATGCCGACCGTCGATAGTTGCGCAGGCAATTCGACGGGAGAGTCTTGGATCGGTGAGAGGCCACGGCTGTTGCTGCTGCTAGTGGTCGGCAGCGTCTGGTCTGACGGGTTATTTGGGTTCTGGTTCCAGTTTGCTCGCGCTGGAAGATATTGCTGCTCCCTATGACAATGTTAGCGACTGTATTTGCTTCAACGCGGGAATCTTCCCGGTTGGCTACACTCACTCGTGCTGCGAATATGCACTCGACGGGCTCATGGGCCCTGAGGGTCGGCGTTGTGGAGCTTGAGCTGGGAAACCACCCTGCTGCAGAGCGAGCATTCCTTGAACATCCCCGTCACTCTCTCTCAGACCATAATTCTGACCGTTCACCGGAGGAGTACCGGTCCGCGAATCCATCTCAATGGCTTGCCCGATCGGCATTGGAGGCTGCAATGGAGCAGGCGGCGACGTGCCTCGAGGGGCATACGGTGAGACTTCACGGCGCGGCGGCACACCTTGCACGTAGTAATCATTGTTGTATCCAGGTGGTGGGGCACCTCGACCCATGGGCCCGGGTCCTGGCATAAGACCTGGGCCAGGTCCAGGTCCAGGTCCAGCGCGCATCCCTCTTCCGTTCCCATTCCATCCTGGTGGTGGCGGGCCTCGCATACCTCCTCGTGGTGGGCCGTATCCGCCTCTTGGAGGACCGTAGCCACCTCTTGGTGGGTAACCTCGTCCACGCGCGTACGGTCCTCCTCTATTCGGCGGTGGGCCCATGCGCGCTGGGTTCTGCATCATATACGGGTCGTTTGGCATCGGCGGGATCGGGTTTCCGTACTGGTCAACCGGCTGGCGTCCGCGGCCTGAGGGACCTCGTGATGGGTTTGACCTGTCTGAGCCATCCCTCCCCCCGCTGCTGTTCGTCTTAAGCGAAGGATTCCGGGCGTTAAGTGGTATTGTGTCATCCTGCGCGTTCTGCTGTTGGAGCTCGAAGGTTGCGAACCGAGGCATCTTGTCTCCTCCGGACATCATCGTGTCGCTAGACATCGGAGGCGGTGATTCAGCCTTTGGTAAGGTCTCAGCCACCGCGGCAACAGCGTTACGGTTCGTGTAGTAATTCTCGCCGTTCATATCTGCGTTCTCTGCTATCCTCTTCTTCCTCGCTTTGCGACTGACCAGAGTCCGCCTCATAGCGCACGTTACCACTCCACTCGCGACAATGATAATGGTGGCTGCCAAAACAATCCATCCTCCCCATGCCATGTGCGGAACGAACAGCAGAATGTCGACGAGGAAGGCGAGTAGCGACACGAGGAGCGTCGGGAATGTGAGGATGAGGAGCGCGAGGAGGTAGCGCGGCGAGTGGGCCGGAGAGTGGAAGTGTGCGGCGACAGCGAGCGAGAAGCATATCAGCGTCATCAGGGCGGCCACCGGATGCACGATAAGGATGGAGGAGAGCGAATGTCGGGTCGCCGAGGGCAGGGAGAACTCGTCGTCGGGGGCATTGGCAAAGAGGCCATCTGCAATTGTCAGTCTGCGCATAGGCTATGCTGGGGGAGTCTTGCGATGCTGCGCGGAGGATGCGCCTCTCTCGCGGTACGCACCGGTGTCGTAGCCGATCATGGGCCCGTCGCAGCTGCCATTCTCGCAGTACCCAAAGACGCCAAAGTTCACGCCGCGGAAGGTAGCGAGCGGGATGGCCTTGATGATGGGCGTCGAGAGCGTGGAGAGGAGCAGCAGTACGAAGGCGACGAAGAATAGAATAGATAGGGGCGTGGCCGGCCGCAGCATGGTGGCAGCGAAGAATAGAGCGAGCCCGAGCAAAGATGCGGCCTCGCCAGACCGGCCTCCAGGACTCTGGGCGGTGTTGAGGGTGTGCGGGCGTGGAGCGCGGAGGCGGGCGTGGAGAATGCAAGCGGGCGGTGCGCTGGTGAGACAGGGTCGAACACGGTCTCTACGCGCGGCGCCTCGAAACGAGCGACGATTTCAGTGGGACCGGCAGCGCTTGCAGTGGGCATTGGGAAGGCGGCCGGGCGCGCGCAATGATGTTGAGCCACAAGCGAGCGAGCAGCTTCGGTGTTGGGTGTTGGGCAATCGCTGCGGGGGCTGTGGTGTTGTTGAAGGGCTGGCGAGAAAGCAGGAAAGACGGGACGGAACCATGCGCGGCCAATGACGCCCAGCGCCACCACGACGGTTCACAGTTGACCGAAGCCGGCTAGAAGACGCCGGCACGAGATAGACTAGACTACCTGCTGTTGGTGGAGAGACATGCAGCCCGCCGCATGGCCTCACGTCGCCGTACTGTAGCACTGCTCCCTCGCGCGCCGTCTCTCCTCCTCGCGTCTGGCGTAACTCTCTCTCACACGCACGGCTGCCACGCCGAAACGGCGCAAAGACGCTCATTCCCGCTGTCTCACGTTTGAGGCTGAGGCTAAACGAGCCATCATTGCCAAGCACCCAGGCACCCAGGCACCCAAGCACCCTTTCACGCTATGCCCAACAGGTGAACAGGTGTTGGGCATCGCGGCTCATCGCATTCTCCAACACTTTCGGCCTTCCAGCTCCCCACTCGACCAACTTCTCCCTCCCGCATCCTTCCACTAGCCTCAAATGCGGCGGCAACATAAAGAGATCTGTCTTCCCCCGCAACTGCCAGTCGACATGGCCAGCTATCGCGAAAAGCTAGCCGCCCAAAAGGACCGGCGGCAACGGTCTGTACGCAAAGGTGCACCTTTCGCCGATTCCACAACCAAATGCCCACCGCTAACCTGTCGGTAGGGAAACATCCTCAAGGTGTCGGCAAAGCAAACGCGCAGAGACATGTTCGTAGAAGCGCACGTCTGAACCCGGAGTACAGCGAAAACACCGAGCACCACTACCCTCTGCCGGCGAACAAGACCCTGTGCAAAGAGGTATGCGACTTCGTTCTGCTATGCTCTTTCAGCGAACTCAAGCTAACTTCTGTAGGGCAGGCGGCCTGCTCCGCCATCCAAGGCTCGAAAGCGATCGCGTGAAGTCGAAAACCCGCTTAACGACGACCACCTACCCGCGCCCCTCCGAAAGCGACCACGGACATCTCCAGACTTCACCGTTGAAAGGCCGAGCGATCAAGAAGCACCATTTTGCGGCAGGAGTACCCAAATTGATCCCATCGATCATTGGCGGAAGGAACAAACTTGGCCAAAGGAATATTTTGAGCCGGACGCAATCAGTCATTTGCTTGCAAGGAGGAAGTCAACACCTTCCCTTCGGCGTAAACGATCGGAGTCGGGCTTCCTCGCGGCTGGCTCCAATACACCAAGCGACCAAAGGCCGAGAGAGGAGAAGACCGCACCATATCAGGATCCGCGTTATAAGACCCTACTGGAAACCAAGGGCAGTTTCATGCGCAATTATGTAGGCACAAATGAGGAGGGAATCAAGGAGGATAGCAAGCGTCTTTGGCAGACCTTGCTAGGGACGGAGCAAAACATCCCTCAGGCCTCGCTATTTGACGATGATATATTCAGCAAGACCTGCGACATGATGGATGGCCGGGACGAAGCGAAGGTTATCCAAGACATTAGTCGGCTACTCGTTCCATCAGCTCAGGCTCTGGCTACACGTAGCGCCAGACTTGAATGTCTTATTGAAAGTGTCAACGAAGGCTGGAATAACGCCATCCCTTTAACTGGTACTCGTCCGCAGCCTGACTACTCCGTGGGATTTAAACGCGAGGCGTTTACAGGAGATCAGCTCGACAAGCTTTCACCCCTCATTGGCGACTTTATCGCTGGCGACCAATCCTTCTTTATGGCCACGTCCTATATGTACTTCCCGTTCCTAACGTGCGAAGTAAAATGCGGTGCTGCAGCACTTGATATCGCAGACCGGCAGAATGCTCACAGCATGACCCTTGCAGTCAGAGCGATCGTCGAGCTTTTCCGCCTTGTAAAGCGCGAACAAGAGCTCCACCGGCAAATCCTGGCCTTCTCGATCTCCCACGACCACCGGTCGGTAAGAATCTACGGCCATTACCCTGTGATCAAGGGAAAAGACACTACCTTTTATCGTCACCCCATCCGCACCTTCGACTTCACAGAACTGGAAGGCAGAGAGAAGTGGTCGGCATACAAGTTCACCAAGAACGTCTATGATATATGGATGCCAAAGCACTTAGACGGAATCCGCTCTGTCATTGACGAGCTCCCGTCTGATTTCGACTTTGAAGTCCCGCTGCTCTTAGAGGAATCCGGACTTTCGCAAGACTTGGAAAGTCATCATCTCTCGCGATCATTCACGGAGCCAGAATCTATACCGGGGGAGCATGGCAGCCAGTCGGCCATTGTTGACGCAGGAGATATCACCCCCGACACCTCATTTACTGGACAAGGTGCATAAAAAAAGCCGAGAAGAAATGCTGTGAATAGCAAGCGCTGAGTGCGAAGCGATCTCCATCTGTTGTCGTTTGGCTCCCTACTACGCACACGATCTGCCTGTGTATACCTAGCGGTGGACGCTGCCCTTGACGTCGCCACAAGAACCTTCCTCAGACGGCGTCCGTTTTACTTTCTTCCATCTTCAATCATTTCTGCGCGCATCACTGCACGGCCCGCGGCACCTTAAGCTTGACATCATATTGGTTGCTTCCTTCGTTTCTCGTACTTTCCATGTCTCCTTCCTTGTGCGGCATGGCCGTTTCCGGATGGGAGCGTCTGGGAGTGGGATAATGGACTCGGTCAGCGGACACTGTCGTTTTCGCGTTCGCAAATTCCACCGAGGACTGTCAGTGTCGAAGGGATCGTGGTTGCTCTTGAGCTTCCGGTGCATTCCTGAGGGTGGCCAGTCCCAATATATGCACATTAGTTGATGGAAGCCGAGTAAAACTTGATGGTCTGCGCCGCCTGAGTTGCTCTGCTGGTTTCCCCCCAATTTCCCCGCGGTTCCTTCGCTCCCCGCCTCCCTTTGGCGGTCGTCGGCGTTCTCAACCCTCCAATCATCGACCGGTCTCCATTCCTCGTCCCAAGCCCGACTTGGACATCTTTCTTCGCTGGAAGCCTCCCTTGTGCATCCGGCGAACCTCGAAAATTCTGCCCTCGCTCGGGTTACAACACCATTTGCCAACCCGCCCTCCCGCCCTCCCGCTATTCCGGCCTATACATTTGCAAACTCCGACCGCTGGACGCGCCTCTGTGCCATCTTTCTATCCTCAGCTTCACCCTCTCCCCTTCTCAACCTGAGGACTCTGCCACCAGAGCGTCCTGCAACGCTTTCTACACAAGATTGTAACGATCTCGTGCATCCGCCGAACCCGCTTCCCCTTTCCACCAGCGACTGCCCATAAGCCGGCCCGTCGGACAGAGGAGCCACGGAAGGTGAAGGAGGCAAGAGAGGCGAAGGAGGCATGGGCATCGCTAGTCGCCGAGAAAATCGAACGGTCCACGCACCTCGGCCTTGTCGCAGCGGCGAGGAGGATACAAGAGTGCTAGGCATCGAGGATGTTTACATGGGGAGGATGGCTCCATACAATGCGTGGTGAGATGGAAGTCGTCGTTGGCGACGAAGAATAACCTTGGCGGAGAGAATAGCTGCATCAGCGATGCGAGGAAACTCCATCCTGATGCGCTGCTGCCCCTCTGAATTGGTAAATTTTCATTCGAGTATGTCGTGGCTGTCTGCGAGCCTTAGGCATCGCTGGGGGGAATGTTGTAGTGACGGTTACGAGGCCTGGGTGTGCCCCAAAGTCCCGGCCGCTTCTGTCTGTTCTTAGCTCTTTGAGCTACGTCTTGTATTTACACCGGCATCCGCCCGTGCGCGTAGTTTAGCCCCTGAATACTATTGCTTACCTAGCCTGTCGATTCCTTATCGGTTCTTTTCACTTCTAAGACAATGTCACATCACCAGCCCCCTGTCAACCCGTCATTCACCCTATGGTCGCAATCAAAAATCCCTGGTCACCACTCTCTTTGCGTCAAGCACCTCAACGTGAAGAGCCTCTGTGTCAGATCTGGCCTAGCCCCTGATGTTTTAGTCTGACACAGCGCCCTCATTGGGCAATGGCGCTCTTCCCCTGACGATTCCTGAGCATTAGAGCCGCTCCCGGTATCGTTCTCCAAGAGCCGCGACGTTTCGGGCGCTACAGAACGGCCCCAAAAATAGTCGCCAGAGCCTTGCAAGACTGTCTGACGCTGTTATTACTTGATCCCCCGTGACCCACTCGCGCCACCACATCTCACTTGACAATCTCGTGGCTTCATTTGCGGAATGCTCTTTTCGATGTTCATTGATATGCAGAGTGACCTAGACCCCTAAGCCTCCCCACGCAAGACTAACGCCTGTTTTGGAATCAGAGGCTTGGCAGCCAACCTTGACTCGCCCATATGAACCTTATATCATCCGCCCTCCTTCCACGCTTAGTGACCAGCAAGAGCATGTGCCCGGCGGCGGTCACGCTCCTCAGCAATGGTGAGCTTGACACCCTTGCCCTTCGGCAGGCTGATCCACGGCTTCTCACGGCCAATGACGCTGGAATCATGTCAGGCATTTTAACGTAGGAGTCCGAGATCCAACTTACAAGATATTGCTCTCACGGGTGGAGAATTCGTTGTCGACAGCGTCCTTGACATGGACGACGTTGAAACCTCCGTCGTGACGCTCACGGTGAGTGATGACACCAACACGGCCCTGTTCTGCGATCAGCACAAGTCGTTGAGCCACAGACGCAGCAGGGGCGTACCATGTTGCGACCGCCAGTGACCATAGCGATGACACCAGTGTCGAACTTGATGAAGTCGGTGATCTTGCCGGTCGCGAGGTCGATCTTGACCGTATCGTTGACCTTGATGGCAGGATCGGGGTAGCGGATCCTGTATCGTCCTTCAGTATACAATTTCAAGACAGCTTCAGAGCCTGTCTGATGCCTGATGCCTGAGGCTCCCCTCCAGCACCTTGCCCAAACTGTGCCCAACGGCTGATAGAGGCGACAAACTCACGTTCGCGCATCATGCGTAACACAGTAGGGAATTCCGCCCCGGCCGAGCTGAACGCGCTTGATCTTGCCCAGCTTGTATTGTGCCTCCTCCCCAGTTATCCTATGTACCGTGTAGCGGCCTTTGGTGTCAAACACCAAGCGGAAGTTCTCGCCAGTCTTCTCGAGAGAAATGACGTCCATGAGACCGGCGGGATACGTGTGGTCGGTGCGGACCTTGCCGTCGACCTTGACGAGGCGCTGCATGAGAATGGCCCTGGTCTCGCGGTTGTTGAGCGCATACTTTAGGCGGTTTCGGAGGAAGATGACCAAGGGCAGCGAGTCGCGGGTCTTGTGCGGACCGGGAGAGGCCTTCGGAGCATAGGCGCCTGGAGGATGTCAGCAACGCCATGGAAACAGACAGTCGCTTGCGCGTCATCGTCACGTACCAGAGAGCTTGTCAAGGAGCCAGTGCGAGGGCGCGCTAAGGCGCTTCTGATGCTTCTTTCTGCCCACGATATCAGCGAAAGTTCTCGGGGTAGCGAAAAGGGTAAGGAACAATGGCGCTGTGGAGGAAGCAGCAAGAGGTTCTGCTGAAAGGAGGGCAAAGTGGGTAACTTACGGTCCACGACCCATGATGGCTGTATGATCAGAGGTTAGTGGTCGAAGAAGAGGTCCTTGGTCGTGGTCTTCTCCAGTTGGTGTTGAAGATAATTTGGGTGGCCTACGGTGCGGAACTTCCTAAGCGAGCTTGGCGGCCCTAACCCAAATCTGGAAAATCACGCTCGCGCGGGAGGGAAAAAGTCGGACATAAGCTCTGAATCGCCTAAAGTAGAGCGCCTATATAAAACAAGTCGCCGCTGATGGCAACGTCTTCTACTCTATGAGCCATCGCACCCGTTAGTTACAGCCGCAGTCAATTTGCCATTGCCATGCGCCGCTAACAGTTACTCTCTGCAGACAAATACCCCGTCTACGTCTTGTAGGATCACTGGCGCGTCCCTAAGACCGACGCCGACCTCCCCTCCGTCTTCTCCATCCTCCCTCCCGATCCCCCCTCGCTCCGTATCGGCGGCTGCACTGAACGGGATGCTGCTGCGGGCGGACTTGCACCGGTTATTCGGCACCGGTTATTCGACACCGGCACATGGGTACCGATGGTAAAGGAGGGGGGCCGGGTAGTCGTGTACGTGGTGCGGACGGCCGACGTGTCGAACTAGTTCGCCGCGCTGTCTTTATTAGTAATACTATACTTGGCAGAGGGGCTAGCAGGACAGGAGGAATGATAATATATTTCATGGGCAACGAATTTCTCTCCTTGGCTCTCCCCTCTTCAAAATACTGCATACACAGACCAAGGTCTCCTAGCAGGCTTCCGAATGTCTTGGATAGCTTCTGTGATAAATTCATGCGTTTCTCCTTGCTAGCAATATCCGCCAGGTACTGCCTCCCTTCCTCGTTCCAACCCAGGGCTGCACGTTTGGAATCAAACCAAGCATACATATTTGTTCGTGCGCCGAAGACTTCAATGGGAGCTGAATGTGCGTGCTCCCAGTCAATGACGCCCACTATCTCGTACTCGTCGTTCAGGAGGATGTTGTGCATCAGGAAATCGGGGTGCACGATCGGGTATTTGCTCGAGTGCCCGGCGGGTATGAGCTTTTCAATTGCCGATCTAAGACGCCGAGGGAAGGATTCCGCAGCCCGCCTTAAGCTCGGCTCTCTGAGCCGATGTAAATTTTTGAAACTGGTATTGTGGTCTGCCCACGACAAGAAATAGTCTGCCGTCGAATGAAATGGCCCCTCGAAGCCAAATGCAGCTGGAAGTGGTCCAATGTCGGTGTCGCCATTAGGCTTCAAGACAAGACTACCAAGCTTGCTCAACGATGCATCCGCTAGCTGGCACTGGATAAGTTAGATTATTGAAAGTCGATTGGGGAGGTTGACAAACTTGTATCGAAGCTATTGACTTGCGTAGCTTAGCTCTTTGCTCATCAGTGAGAACATTTAGACCGCCGAGGTCGAAAAGCATGTTCCCCTCAATGCATTGCATCAATAGATAAGGCAGCTTAACTGGATTCCCATCGAGGCATGTTTTGTAACCGAACACTTTCGGCACAGGGATATCGGTGGTCTGCGCAATGAATTTCATTGTCGCAATCTCACTCTCCATCGTGAACTGCTGCTCACTTCTCCACCATCTTCCGTCCAATTCTGAGCCGAACGAATCTGGGATAGTTGGTATGCGTGCAATCCACAATTTGCCCTCCTTTGGGAGGTCAATGCGACGAACAATATGACGTCCACCAGCGTGGTAGTCGCCCTGGTAGACACATGCCGGGTCTCCACTTAACCGTTTCGTAATGTCAAGTAGAACATCCCAATCTGTGTACAGAAATGTCTTCTTTGACTGTTCATCATTATGCTGACCTGTCCAACGGAATATGAAAGGCTGCGCCATGTCGTATCGCGGGTTGTGGATCTTCAGAATGGTTCCATCGTCGGAGCGACTGAGGCAGGCTGGAGATGTCGCGCGTTCGGCTGGGTGCATGTGCTTGCGAAAAGCTGAAAGAGCAGATATGGTCAGACGGTCGGTGCGGGTGGAGAGATGGGACGGCAGGGAGTCGCCTGTATAAGAAGGTATTCAGCGCGTCGACAGCAGGCTTATACATGGAATACAACCGTTGGAAGGGGGGATGAGATCAGCGTCGCCACACCGGAGATAGCCCGAGAATGACAGGCCGTGCCATGCGCAGGCGACCGAGTGGAATAGTTCGTGGACCAAGGGTTTAAAGAAAGCCAGTCACGACATGTTATTTTGTCTGATAACCACAGGCCGCACAAATCGCCGGTGGGAGCGGAAGGAGGAGCGGCGCTTGTTGGCATGGAGAAGGGATGGGAAGCCGTTGGCGTGGATAGCTGGTCGATTGGACAGGACCGAGGGCGCTGTGTACCTTCGCTGGCACACGTTGCAGCGGTCTGCACAAGGAGGAGCGGACTAGGCTTCGGGAAGGGGAGACTTGGCACTGATGCCCGGGATCAAACGTCATGTCACACCAGTTGTCGCCATGCGCGCTGGCGTCGGGGGCTCAAGGCCGACGCGTGCCGTACATGGGGGACAGAGGACGGCACATGGGACATGGGACATTGGCCATTTGGGAGACTGGAAGGAAAGAGGCGTTCCTTTTTGGCGAAAGCGGTCTTGTAGAGTACAGTAGCTTCATGACGAAGGAGCAAATCATGCCTTCGAAGATGCGTCGCTCAACTGAGTCGTAGGGGATCTACATGTCGGGCTTGGTATTCTAAGTTTCCAGAAACCATTGATTCCTAAGGCATCAGCATTGGTCCGCGGTGGGCCAGTCACGTGATCAGCCGAGCGCGGCTTAGTACGAGACAACAGATCGCCGGAGGGAATTGGAAGAAACGAGTGCTAATAGTCGCGTATTGATCTGTCACATTACCTTTCTCCTATTCAGCCGTCTTTTTAGGTATACTGGTACCCACCCTACCAACTCCCTAAATTACAAAAGAGGAACAATATGCCCAATTCTAAATCAAGATGGCCTCTGCCGAAGCCTTGCTCTCGCCCTTGTATCCGCACTGCTTGGTATTTTCCTTATCTGATGACGGTCTGCCGAGGTGGGTGTGTTGCGCTGCTTCGGCCTCGACCGTTCACCATCGCGGTCTGTGGACGATGCTGACGGGCTACGTTTACGCTTGAGCGTTATTCCCGCCTTGGAACCTTGCTCAGATCCTCGTCCGGCCTTTTGAAGCTCAGCTATCCTTGCACTTCTTCGCGGCACACTGACCTCAATTGATGAGTGAAGCCCGGCTTGAGAGTGGTGTTGTCTTCCAAGACCGTTGGGCGCTTCAGATAATAGTTGCGCAAGGGCCACACGTTTGCTCCGGCCGTTGGTCTGCAGTTGGCCTTGGGGTTTGCTCTCCGGTTCCGTGGCCTTCGATTGTGCCAGCGTAAGGGAAGACAGCTTGCTGGTTTGGGTACGTCTTCCGGGAGCGGCTTGCTCATTCTCGGGGACCGGATTATTAGTGCCGTTCCGTGGCGGGAGTAACGTGCCATTTTCCGGCGAGTTAGATGTTTGACCGGGTTCATTAGCGCGGTGGCTGTGCTTCCGAAGACGGCGGTTTGGGGCAGAAGCATTTGCCTTGCTCGGTTTCTCCACTTTGGACTGGCGCACGCTCCGGAGGACTCCATCTGCAGGCTCTTCTGCGAGTCGTGGGGTTTCAGGGACTGTGGGAAGGCGACCTGCGCTTTCCCTCCTCCTCCCTCTGTCATTTGGTCGGGCGACCGCTCCGCTGGAATCGTTGACATCTCGAGGAAATGATGGTATGTCGTTGCCGCCTCCGCGGTTGTTGTCGACATCAAGCACTGGCTTTAGTTGGGGAGGTCCCGGTCTTGAAGAATGAAGTTGTTGCTTGCCGTTGCTGACTGGACTAGGCGACAGTCCCCACATCTGACGGCCCTTCTTACGAATCATCTCATCGATCTCGTCCGGACCGGGCGGCGTCCCATCTCTCTGACGACGCTCCTCACGTCTCTGACGACGCTCCTCACGTCCCTCCTTAAAGATATCAGGAGTTTGTGGCCGATCATCAGGGTCTTCTTCATGCATCCACGTCATTCCGGGAAGCTGGTCCCATTTAGGATTCCAAATCTTGTCTTCGATCCACATATTCTTGACGCTTTCGTAGGCCTTGGCGTCGATGTCGACAAACCCGGTGTGTCGTTCATATTGATATTCGTCTCTGATCCATTCGCTCTCCTTGGATGCCTGAAAGAGGAACTGGTAGTACGGACGTGATGCTGAAGGATTGAGTTGATATCCGGCAGGAAGCATATCTGAGATATGGCGCCAAGAAATAACTATCGACTCTGCAGTGGGAATCTTATGTTTTTTCCGGATCCGAGGTACCGAGTCGAATAATCCTGGGAAGGTCGATTTTGTGAGGGGGTCCGGCTCGGGTATCGACTCCAGCTCCGACTCTGACTCCGGCTCCGGTTCTGGCTCCGGCTGAACTGCTTGCCTTTGTTCTGCAGAAACAGCCGCTGACTTTTCCCCAGAAGATCTAGGGTCTTCTCGTTCTGATTCGATGGTGGGGAATTTGAACACGAAGGTATTGATGGCAGGCTCCGGTTCCGGCTCGGGCTCCGGCTGCGATAGTGCTAGCGGTGGTTCGAGCCTCTTTTCATGTCCCCAGCGGGCGAGGTTGCCAATGCCCCCGGGAACGCTGGGTCCCCCTTTATGACGCCAGGCGAATATCCGCGGCCCTGACGTCCCTAGTCCCTTCGGCCAGGCCGGGCCCCACCATTCCTTCCAAATGCCTTGCTCTACCCAACGGGCCCGGACATTGTTCTCGGCGTTCACTAGGTAATCCTGAGTCTCATCCAAGGGGAGCGTCTGCTTCCGCCCAAATCGCCCCTGTTCGCTCTGATATTGCAGTCTTTCCATCTCCCTCTTGACCTGGCGTTCAAACTGGAAGCATGGCATCGACTGATCACGGTCGTCCCAAAATCGATTCCATCGCTGTTCTTCGTCGACACGGGGGCGCTCTTCGGGAGTGTCGGGCTGCGTCACCTCGCCGGATGATGGATACGGCGGTGGAGATTCGCTGTAGCGCTGGGCTCTCTCGCGACCGAGCTGCTCCGGATCGTCTGCTAACCGTTGAAGGGCTTCGATAATCTGCGGCAAAACGCGGCGCTGGCTGCTGATGTTGAAGGAGGAGGACATGGCAGGTAGAGGTAGAGGAAGACAGCAGGAAGGAGGACGTCATGAAATTTAGTTAAAAAGGTGATGCGCGGGAGGATGGGGGAAGCGAGAGTCGTGCAGAATCAGCGCGGGCAAGATGTTGAAGGGTTTGGCTGACTAACAAGGGTGGCTGACTAACCAGGGTGGCTGACTAACAAGGGTGGCTGGTCCGCCGGGAGGCTGAGCTGCTGCCTTGGCTGCTGCCTAACTTCCCCGCTCTCTCCAGCTCGGGAGCAGACCCACAGCCAGTCGTAGCGCGCGCGTCCGGCGCTTTCTAGCCGCCGCCTTCTCTTTTTTAGATAGCCTTGCAGGTTCTCGCCCCCTACTGGTTTTACGATGGTAGCCATGGAAGCCTCTCTGCCATTCATTTTCAACCACGGCGGTTGGCTCCATCCCCAGCCTTCCCAGTTCTCTCTCCATGGGCATGACGGAGATTGAGCTGTGAAGTTGAGTATGCTTCCACTGTTCTCCCTCCAAACCAAGCTGCAATCTGTTCTGCGAACCCCCAACCGTACAAGGTCATTTTCTTCGTACACTTAGCAGTTTGTCGTTCGTGCTGTCGTCTAACTTTGACCTTAAATCATGGTCCTCCCTGAGCCTCACCCTCTTGCCATCTTTTCGCTCGTACCTCTCAACGATCGAGCTAAGTCTGTCCTCGACCATCCGGACAACATCCACCTCGTCTCGCTCATTCCCCAAGCCGTAAAAAATCCCCTGAAAGAAAAAGAGGAAGAAGACGGAAAGCCAACGCGCGGAGAACCAACACGCGGGCTCAACATCGGCACCCACATCGGCTCCAAGTCCCGCTACACTCTAGCGACGCTTGGGCGCCTCGGCGACATCACCGTCGAAGGGTCGAGCATCTCGAAGATCCATTGTTCTTTCGATGTCCACTGCCACACGAATGAGATCATACTCTGGGACCAGTCGTCCAACGGGTCGACCCAGACCTTCGGTCAGAATGCCATGAAGATTCCGTCCAGGCTGGAGCGCCCCGATCGCTGGGTTGTCGTGGCTAAAAAGGTCAATAACATATTCGGATTCGGCGGCAGTCATTGCGATCTTTTTGAATTTATGATACATTGGCACGAGCCTGTAAACGATCTCAAAGAGCGTATCAGCTACCGAGAGGACCATCCTAAGTACACCCGAACCTTGGACGACGAGACGGCAACCGTCATAACATCCAAGCCTGCCACCCGGATTCACACTCCTATCAAATACACCCCAGGCACTTTCACACCGGGCGTTCAAGGTCAGGCGAAGAAGATCAGGTACTATACGAAAAAAAGGATCGGAAAGGGCTCGTTCGGCGAGGTCTGGAAGGCCGTGGATGTCGACACCGGTGAAGTGTTCGCTCTCAAGCTGATACCATGGCCAAAACTTGGACCTCAGTCGCAGCAGTACACGTTGTTAAAACGGGAAGTGGAAATATCTGCCAGCCTGTCTCACGTGAGCCATATCCAGCCCCGAACCCCATTTTAATGAGTGTTAGCTAAAGTTCTCACAGCCAAACATCGTGGAATTCATATCAGCGCAAGGCTGGGGAGGGACGCACCTTGAAGTCTTCACAGGACTCAAAGATGGCAACCTAGAAGACCTGATTAGTGCAGATCTCTTCCGAAACGATGAGGCGACTTCCCTTCTCCGTGAGATGCTCGAAGCGCTAGATCACCTCGCATACAAGGGCATTGTCCATAGAGACGTCAAGCCAGAGAACATTCTCTACACACGTCTACCAGCCGGCAGCTATACCTTTCAGCTCACGGATTTTGGCCTTTCGAATGTCATTACTGACGCCCGATCGTACGCCGGATCGCCGATCTATATGGCCCCCGAATTGCTGTCCAATCCAACAAACCCTCAGACGTCGAAGGTAGATGTCTGGTCCCTCTTTGTCACTCTCGCTTACGCGCTGAACGTGGATGGGTTCCGGGAGAAGCCATTCGACACGAATGAATTCAAGGTTAGGGCAGTACAAGAGGCTGCTCGCGATCCTATCCTCAATCCGCTCCGAGACATGGCGATCATCGACCCCAGCCGACGAGCTTCTGCGGGAGAGATGCTCGATAAGTTGTTTGGTGGAAAAGGTCGCTCAAGCCCGCGCAGCAAGGCCCAGAACGACGCTGGCCACACAGATGCGGCCGCATCAAAACCACAGCCTGAACGGCATCCACGCGCAAAACAGAGCAGGCAACCCGATCGACAACGAACGAAGTGTCCCCGTTGTCACTTTGAAGGAGACAAGGAAGAGGTTCGACGCCATATTATGTTCTATCTGCATACCGTGCAGGCGTGAGGGTTTAGAGAGTTTGACTGTCGTTGAAGGGTGTCGTGTGAGAACGCAAGTCCTGACCCGGGATCGAAGATTTGGGAAACTGGCACGAAGAATCGTATTTATGGACTCTCAGTTCAGCGTTTAATCTTGGGAAACGGGGTCGTGTAAATGTAAAGGATCGCGAGGTCTCTTCGCAACCAGCGTCTAGGCATGTGTCTCTTTATCATCTTTCGCTGGAATCGCCCGATTCAAGTCGTCCCAGCTTCTGGCCCGGAGAAATTCGGACCACCGCCAAAGTACTGTCCTCCTGCGTCGAAAGCAACCCAATGTGATGTTGGGAATCCAGAGTTAGGCATCCCTGGGAGCGAGCACCACGAGAGGCTGCCATTCGGGAGCCAGACTCGAGTTTGTTCAACTGTGACGCCGAGTTGAATGAATTGGCTGCCGAATTTCGTCGCCCCGACCACGCTGAGACCAGAGTACCGACCGCGCCGAGCACTACCCGATCTTGGATGCCACCTGGGCCACTTGGGAATCTCCTCAATTATATGGATGTTGATGGAAGCCGAATAAAGCCGGAAAAGGGGACCAGTCTAGGAAGTTTTAACCAATTTTAAATTTATCGAGTTGGAAATGTGCTCCTGACCTTGAACTATTCGCGCGCTGGCACCGTCGTGCACGTGGATATGGGCCTAAGGCCATAAGGCTGCCCACAACGAAGAGAATCCACAACCTCGCTAATAATTTATTGACCCACATTTATTGCTCAATAGCTCCTTCCGAACATGCACTACTTGTCCGCGAACGCACCGCATTCTAGATTCAAACACTTCGTCACGCCCTTAACGATTCCCTCTAGCTGCTCGAATGGAATGTACAAGCTCTTCATACCCATTCTTGGAGCCTTCTTCTCCGCTGGACCATCAGCTGCAGTATCTTCACGACTAGGATTATAGCTCCTCTCCCGACCTTCAACTCAAACTTCCACTCGGTCACTTTCCAGAAACCCTTGATTCCTGAGGCATCCGTACTGGTACGCGGTGAACCAGTCACGTGATCGAGCCAAGTTGCATAGCGAGAAGTCACGTCGTTCACATCGAAGGAGACAATTCCAAACTATCCAGGGGCCAACGTCCTGAATCCATTCGTCTCGCGCTGGTACTAGTCGATTGATCCAAACACGGAATTCTAACATTCTACGGAGAACGGGTCGATTTCGCTGCGTCCTCCGATGGTCGCGATCGAAAGCCTGGAGGTCCACGCTGCGAGGTCGTAATACACTGATCAAAGTGCTGAAGCCCAAGCCACCTGTAATTCTGAACATCTCCCGCCACCGCGGCGGACCTTTCCCATTGATTTTTGCATAACAAGAAAAAGCACGCCAAGGAAAATAAACCACGTTTCGAAGCCCTTCTCGGTCATGACCCTTCAAAGCAAACGAAGTATAAGAGATGTGGCCAGAGCCGATTAGCGTTTAGAAGCCGGCGTCTGCGTCTGATCGCCTGACTCGTCGGTCGTCGAGTCTGAGTCTCGTCACCTGTTGGCTCTTAGATGGGTCGTGCTCCAGGTGCCCTTGGAGTAGGGAAGATCTCTGCTGCACACCTCCGTTGGGAATTGTTCCTCATTCTTCTTGAGTGTGACCTTTTCAAGTCGATTCCCCCAGAGAATGACCTCCATGTCGAAATACATGTCATCAGGAATCTCGCACGCGATCTGCTTGAGGTCATCTAGTGTGGAAACCTTGCGATCTCGAATGCGGACGACGAAGGCCGGCACAGGTATCTTGTACAGTTTGCCTGGGCTTGCGAGCAAGACGGCCGCGAGGTACACATCCGAAGGAACATCGGGAAACGTTAAGCGAACCGCAAAAGTCGACCTGTGCGCAGAAAGACCGTAGAATTTGACATATTCTGTGACGTCGGCGTCTAGGGCGCGGACGGTGGGCACCTTCACGTCCATTTCTTGGCGGTCACGAAGGATGCACGCAGAGAGGGTGTGCTGCGTATAGTGGCACTAGATATGGGTAGCTTGTGAGATCTTCTTGCCCTCCAACTCCAAGATGATGTCGCCCGTCTGCAGAGGATGTGGTTGGACTTCGCCAGTGTGCGAAACACAGTGCGATGCTACGCGTGTCACAGACATGACTTGGGGTTTTGGCGAGGGCAGTGACCGAATGTTCCAAGTCCTCCTCCGACAGCCCCATCCTAGTGGCGGAAGCCAGCGGCAGGGGCCGGGTGTCGAAATCCGGAAATCGTATCGCATCCGTATTGCCATCCTGAACGAGTCGAAGGACGGATGTAATGCGAGGCGCCTGGATACAGTATAGTGGCTTTGTTGCAGCGTTGCTGAGTGGAAATTTCAGTGCAGCAACAGCGCCATGGGAGTTGAGTATTGCTCCCGTCAAGGCGTTGTCGGCGGACAGTGTCGGCTGGAGTTTAATCTTTTCGAAGGAGAAGGGCAGAAACCTCGCAACGGACGGTCAGTTAGGCTCTGCATACGTGTCGCTAACACGCTTAACAGCTGTCGTCATAACAGTCTTGTCGATGGTGTCGAAGTTTACGTAGTAGACAGTGTCGCCTTCTTTGAGAGTGTCCTCTTGGCACATGCAAGTCGGCTAGAATTAGAGGCGGCTCGCTTCAAGGGCTGGTTGCGACTACCGTTGCAGGTTCGATCCGGTACTATGGCCTACATGCGCATGCACCATGCAAAGTCGCCTAGGGACCTAGTGAACCGCACTATACGAGCGGGAGACTTAGCTGGCAGGGACGCTTTCACCCATCGTTCCTACCGACATCGGACTCCTGCCGGAAGCCGTCCCTTCCGAAGATTACAAACCGTATGAGATATTATAGAAAACATCATTCGGCGTGGAGCCTAGAGTAAAGTCCCCATCATTACCCAACCCGTTCCCATCCAATCCCTGTGTCCCAATCTCCGTCGGTGATTCGAGTTCTCTGTTTGGATATGCTTCATAGGGCGCAATGTTGAGATCTGGCGCAGTGTTGAGATATGGCGCAGTGTGCATACTAAAATAGGGTGCTTGGCAAGTAAAACCATTCCCACCAATGTGTGCGACTGGGTAATTCCCGACGTAGGAATTGACGTTGCTAGGAGCATCAAGGGGAGTTGTTGAGATACTGGCATATAGAACTAGTTGTGGCCTATGGGTATTCGACCGGCTACTTCTAGAGCGTATTTTCGTGCTTGCCTCACTACGAAGGCTTGTGAGGTCCGGTTCCAGTATAGCTCGGCACTTAGGTAGGAAATTGCTTGTGATAAGTCCCGGTGAGTTGAGCGTCATCCTTATCATTTTAGATGCTAACGTATCAAACCGTGCTTCTAGGGCGAAGATATCTTTGGCCAATTCGTCCAGGTGCCTCGCGACTCCAAATAAGCATAGGATCAACATATCAAAGTATTGGGGTACTCCGGGCATAACGCGCTGGACCTTCTCGAGGAGACGAGGCCGGTCGTGTCTATTGCAAACTAAGATCGCCTAAGCAGTGTAAGTACGTTATTATTCAAAATTGGTCAGGGGCCCTACAAGAATCGCTATGAACCATCCCGTATAGAGTTCGACAAGGTTTTCCTGTGAAGCTTTACCGGAGGGGAAGCAACGGATAAGCTCAATAACGGCCCTCCCTAATACCTCGTTCCAAATTGCGAGGGGAGGAGGCGTCTTCGCGTTCTCGGCTGGGGCTCTAAGGCAGTCAGCGGAACAGTCAGTTAAAGGAAATTGCATGTCTTACGTTGAAGGACATTCGTCTGCCTTGCTTTCGTGGAAACTGAAACTCAGGTCCCTTCCGTCCACAGGAATGGCTTGATGACCGTGGCCGCCGTGCAAGACCGATGGAGGACTTCCGGGGAAATCTAATGGCGAAGGCTAGAGCGACATCGTGCTCTAACAGGAATTTGTACACAAGCTAGGGGCGTCTGCTTGTTCGGAGGACTGACTTGCTTGTCTGGCTTATGGGCGGCGGTGGTGTCGGGCACGAATGAAGGTGACACTTGGCCTAGGATGCGGGAGAGCAGGAGGAATTCTGAGGCGTGGCAGGACGCCGGGAAGCATGCATGATATATTATGGAGAATGAGCCATCCTTTCCCTTGCTCCCTCAAAGCGGGGACATGCAGATTGCGCCGCCGCGCATACGCCATAAGGGTTGGCTGAAATCCTTGAATGGACCTAGCTTTTCTGGAAGCCATGCAACTATTCTACAGTATTTTCCTGCAGAGGCAGATGAACGAATGCGGCATAAGGGACTCCATATCGCGACGGGTGGCACTCTCCGCCGATGGTGGCCTCCATAACAGCAAACAAATGGAATTATACAGGCGTTTTATCAACTTGATCTGGAAGGGCACATATGTGGTCCATCCACTTCAGATACCCTCAATGTTCCACCCGATACAAAGATGATGTACCGTGACCATCAGCACGACGACATGGTCGACGTCAACAGCGATCTCTTGGGTGACCAGAATCCCTTTCTGAGTAGGTTAGATTAGCTGTGAATTCGTACAAGGAAAGCATACTCCTTCGTGGCGTTTATCGACAGGCAGACACTCGCTGTTATTACCCGTCTTTCGATGTGCCGTGTGAGGTTTTGGCGCAACGTTGTGCGACCTCACCACGGGTCCCCGGTCTCGAACGACGCTTCGTGGACGCATTGCAGGGTGCGGATGCAGGTGATAGGAATTCGCAGGAAGGCAGCTGGTGAAGGACGAAAACGGAACAGCACGACGGGGCCAAAGAGCAGGCGGAAGGCAACCAATGAAGAAGTGAGGGACGTCTCCAGCCTCGTTAGGGTGGACGTGCATGATATACCATTCACGGCCGTCTCACCCTTTCCCAGTTTCGATGCGTTTACCCACAGAAATGAAGCATATGTACACAGATGGACCAGCAAGCAACATCTCAAAATGGCCCGAGCCACACAGAACGGCCATCCGGAACAGTCGGCTATGGAAGTGGGAGAGGAGTCAAGGATTACAGACCACAAGCTGCTGGGGTACTCTGTTCCCAAAGGGTGATACACAGGATGTCTCCTTGACCATCTGGTGTGGTAACGAAGACGGATACCACCTAAATGATGTCTTCGGGCTACAACATGCAATCTCTTCCTAGACGTCGAACCATACGCTGGCGACTCTAATATAACAAGTATATCCAGCAGGAATCTCGTAGGGGAGGTATTCAGTCGAGGGGGTTTCGTTGTCTATGTGTGTTTTCACGTCGTTTGTTTTCTTGTCCACGATCGACAGATATAAGCCTTTGAAGTATATCGTCCGGTTCTTGTTCGGATCGGGAGGGAAAAAATGGCTCGGGATGTCCTCTTCTTTTGCCCCGGCAAGAGCTTTGTCCCCTCTCTGAACGTGACACCGTCAGTTAGCGAGAAGTACGTTGAAGGGAGGAAAGAAAGAAAAGATCTTACCGCCATAGTCAACAAGAAGTCGACAATCTGACGCGAACTTCTCTGCAAAGCTTTGTAAGTTTACGAGGATGGCTACAGCCGAAGCAAGAACTCGTCAGCCTGTTCTGGGCTAAGGTTGCGGCGGTTCAACCGTTGTTCACCTTCAGATTTCTTCGCATGGAAAGGAGATGGATCGCCGGCTTTAAGCAGAGTAACTATGCGCAGAACGTCGCAAGCGGTTGCGAGGTGGTTACGAGGTGGGTGGTGCCCGACATATGAAAAGCGGCCGCAGCCGGTTTGCCCTAAAATTGTGCCCCACCTATCTGCAGCCCCAGCCTCCGGCGACTATCACGTGCACCAGAAGCCGCTTACCAAATGAGTAAGGCGTCCGCTACTGTATTTCCCCACTCAACGCACAGACCCCACTCAACGCACAGTTTGAGGATGGCCATCACCACTACTTTTGAAGCTGTACAGCCCTATATAGATCTAATTATCACGAGATTTTTTAGAGAAGCATTCTTGAACGCTTGTTTGATTGATTGGCAACGACAAATTACGTGCGATACCTCTGTGGGAGGCGTACTTTGCGAGTGCGCGATGATGGGCCGGATGCCTCCACCACCCCTTCAATGACCGATAGATCCTCAACATCAACCTCTGGCTCCTCAATAACACGAGCAGGAGGTGCAGGAGCCTTGAGGTTACGCGCCTTACCCTTTCTAGCCAATTGTATATCAGTCCTGAGTTGCTTTTCGGCTGCGCGCGCAAGTAGGGCTTCTTCGCGCTCTGCGGCCTTCTGCTGTTTTTCTTGCAACTTAATCTCCTGTGCAGCTATCCTTTTCTGCGCCCTTTACTCAAGCATAGCCTGTTTCTCCTGCTTTTTCTGCTCCTTAGCTAGCTTATCGCAATCCTTTTGGTGTTGTAGTTCTTCTGCTTTGGCGTCTTTTTGGGCTTGGCGATTGCGGGCAGCTTCAACTTTAGATGGCGACCAGAAGACGGCGCCGCCAGCGTAATCCTTGGAGGGTTCGAGTAGTAATGCCTTGCCACGCTTACGGCGCTTCTTCTTATTAATAAGGGCATCTCTGAGGCAATCATTTTCATGCTGGAGGAGCTGTTTTTGAGTCGCTATCGCGTGTATCGTGTGAGAAAGCTGCGAGGCGCGTTTATCGTAGATATTCTCAACTACCTCTCGCAGGAGTCGTTCAATTTTACGCCAATCGCTTGCAGAGAGTACTGACGACGTACTATCGCTGCTTAATGGCCTCTTAGGCTCTAGATCCTTGAATTTCTTCAATATAGCGTTGCTATCTAGCGGAGAGATGCCAGTGACTTCAAAGGCGTTGATGATCGTTTCTTCGGCGAACGCGATCCTATATGCCCTATAGAAGAAGCGGAAGAAGTCGCGCTTAGTGATAGATGTGAGTCCCTGGTTGTTGTATATATATTCGCTGAGCTCTTTCGTATATGCAGCTGAAAGAGGCTTGAAAAGGCAGACATCTAGAGGCTGTAGCGTATGGGTTAAATGCGGCGGGTAGATAGCCAGGAGGATTCGATTTCGATCGCAGAACTCAATAAACTTCATAGTAATATGTGAGCCATGCCCATCAAGGATTAGGAGCCGATAATCGCGCTTTGCCTTCTTCTTCGTCTCCTCTTGAAAGCACCTCTTGAGCCAGGCAATCCCGAGTTCGTTGTTTGTCCATCCAGATGGCGATGAGGCGAAGAAGGCCTGGTGCTCTTGAGGATCAAAATCCTGCAACCATGTATCCTGGATATTGCCAGAAGCCGCCTGATATATCAGGGCAGGATTGAGAGAGCTGCCGTCGGCGCATATACAAGCTATCGTCGTTATCCACTCCCTGTTGCCGTCCTGGAGTACCTGCTTAACGCCTCCTTGATTATATCGCTGTCGGGAGAACACGCGCTTCATTTTTGACACCACCCCGATCAAGAAGCCCTTCTCATCCATGTTGTATGTATTTGACGGCGCGATATCGTACTGCTTGATCTTATCGTCCAAAAGCTTAAAATAGAGAGCGTATTTGAAGGCTGAATCAGCTTTGTGGCGCTGGTTATCGATGCTGGATGTCCATCGCGATACAAGGTCAATTTGATGCCGCGCAATATAGCGATCAACCCAGTGTTTTCCAGGCTCTTGATGGGCTATTTCTGCTGCGAAATTTCGTATCATCTCTCTTGTAGGGGGTAGGCCTCGTACACACAGCTTATTAATATACTGCAGGAGCTGTTTTTCCTGTATGGTGTTGAGGAGTCGCTTTTTCTCAGCCCGTGATGTATTGGTGCCCTGAACCCCGCGATAACGCTTCGAGAGCCGCGACCGCTCAACGCCGTACTCCCGAGCAACCTGGGATATATTAGGAGGTCCTCCCAGCTCTAGGGATTTTAAAGCTTCAACAGCTGCGTCAATCGGGTCCATATTGGTGGAGTTATGAGGTGTTGAAAATATACGCGTTTTGGTGTTGACTGTGCGTTGAGTGGGGTCTGTGCGTTGAGTGGGGAAATACAGTAATTATGACGCGCAGCCGAAGCTTTGCCGAGGTAAACCCTCCTCAGCGCCCTACAAACTGCCACACACACGACAACGATGCTCAGGACACATGTCAAAAAGCTCAAGACTGCGAGACAGGCGCCCGCGCTCCTGCAGCCCCACTAAAAGATCCCACAGTATCGCAACACCGTGCTGAGGCCCACCGACATCTTCTCCTGCCTGACATCGAAGCGCTCCTCGCCCGCAGTCTACGCGACATTCACGATCCTCTTCCGCCCTTTCGCCGTCCACACGCACTTCGAAACTAGCACTAAGTTACACATGAGGAGGATAACGAGGAGAATAACGCTTGGGCGACTTGCGGACAAGGTCAGCCAGCTGGCGGTTGTGTATTGGGACGATTGCCGCGAGTTAGCAGGGAGATCGGGTGGTAGAGAAGCTCGCCAGAAGCCCGCCCTCAACGCCAACTGCAGCGACAAGGTCCAGCGCGCCTCGCTCAAACCAACCGCTCCGACCCCGTCCCTCCCTTACCCCAGCCACCTCTGGCGCCATCCTATAGCTGCGAAGCCTGAACGAGACAGTCGACATAGAACTTGCTTGAGTCCGACGTCATACGCATGAACGCCGAACGCCTACCAATCGCGGGCCGTTAAACCCAGCTAAGAATAACAGGACCAAAGACACCGCCACCACATATCGATCGCAAAACTACCAACAGCGTTGTGCACCAAGGGTGCCGCATGGACCCTAGAGTCGTTGTGGCCCGGACCCAACCAGCACATCCCGCGCTTTCCGCATATGGAGCAAAACACCGCGCTCACTCACATATGAGGCCCCTTGCGGCTATCGCGTCTCGGACGCTTGAGACTAGTAGTGCGCGCTGACATTGTATGCAACGCACGGAGGGCGCCTCAACGACAGCCGGTTCTCAGATGCCGCTGGAGTGCGACATGGCTCAAAGGGCTGTAAGCACTCGAAGGCGACAATCGTAGAGTCAACGATGATCGGGTTTATTTGGCGGTGCCCGGAAGGCGCTGAATGCGACCGTAGAAATGCTTGGGGACATCTGGATCAAAGAGGATCGCAATAGCCTCACGGGTCTTTCTTCTGCAATGCGTAGTAGCGCACTTTAACTGCGCCCTCAGTCCGATCTAGGAAGCGTTTACATATCTCCTTCCACTCTATACCCTGCTTATCCCTTAATAAGCGTAAACGCACTTCGTCCAACTGCAGCCACGGCTTGCGCGTTCGTTGGCCGTATGTTTCTGTGCCTTCGTCTCCCTTCTCGCTCTTTTCATCCTAGTTATTATCTGAGTAGTGCGTTTCATGAGAGGCAGCATCACTGTAGGAACTGCTCATCCAGTCCGAATTCAAGTCTCCGCGACTGCATGGGTCTGACGCACCACCTTCATACCGGTATCCTACCAGCATCCACGAATCTAGCAATAGCTGGGTCATGCGTATAACTTTGCCTTCTCCGCTAAGGAATCTGTGTTCTAAGGCGGCGGGGTTAAGAGACCGTTTTAAGTCGTAGTAACAAATAATTTCTATTACAACTAACGAGCCGTTTAGAACAGTGCAGAGCGTAAGATTAGTTAACGTACTTCACAAACGAACCCCCCACACAAACGAACCCCCCAGGGTTTCTTGGCAAGGAAAATCAACGAAAATTAACGAGTTTTTCTTAAATAACTACGCGAAACCTTAATACTTTTCTATAAAAATATATATATATATTCTTTATAGTATATTATACCTAATATTAAAGTTATACTAAGATATATTATATAATTAAAAAGCTATACGTATTTAACTAACTTTTAGAAAAAATCTAGTTTTCTTCTAGTAAGTACTATTATATTTCTATAATAATCTATAAAACTTATATTATATAGTAACGTTCTTTATAAGTAAACCTCTTATATAAGTAAATCTTCTAAAAATACTAAGCTCTTACTAAATACTACTATCTCTATTATAAAGCTCTCTATAAACGTCTAATTAACTTTAGACAAATTCTAGATATAGCTTACGCTCTAGACTATTTAATAGAATCTAGAGCTAAGCTTATAGCGCG